AATGATCTGGTGTGTGAAAGTGACCCACTAGTGTACCCTTGCACAACTCCTGATGTCTAGCACAGACAATCAAGATCTACATCGCTGAAAAACAGATTAGTCAGAACGATGTCAATGATGCAGCAGAGCAGTACTTCACTTCCCTCAAATCGAAGTGGACTAAGTCACAGACTGAAGCCGGTTGCCAAAGTCTGGCAAACACACGACTACAAAACACAATTATTGCGTGGTTGAAAGCAGTGAGTTGATCCTTGCTTGATGATTGGCAATCTTAATGTTAATCGAGTTTCTCTCCAGAAAGCTGCCAGGAGACATGAAGGCATAGCAGGCTTAGTGGGTAAAGTCAGCACCACACAGGACGAGATGGAGTCAGTTATACTTATGGACCATATGTCTTCCGACAATGACATGGAAGCCGAAACTCCAACCACTGAAGGCCCGAGGCATGACAATGTCCTGGTTCACAAACAAAACCTGTGGAGAAGCTCTAAAGTAAGTCATAACCCAAAGCTTTAATATTGCACAACACTAACTTGTGTGCCAAGTTTGTTAAGTTCCTTTATGCCTCAGATAAAAGTTGCAAGTTGGAGATGGAGGCAAGGGTGCATGCGAAGCACAAGAGAATGCACCTCCAAAACACCCACAAACCTGCAGAACATGCAGATTACGATGGAAATACATTATCACAGCAACTTCCGAGGCTGCCAGTCCCAAGGTCTCTAATACGCCCAGCAATCAAAGTGGAAGTGGAGGAGAGGACGACAATCATGGAAGTGTTGCCCTGGTGGGACGCTATGGATGTTGCTGATGCATTAGTGGATGGGCCAGACTTGGAAATCCTTCAACAACTCGAGGAGCAAGAAAGCGAATCCGCTCCCAGTACTAGTACTAGTACTACTGTTAGTTAAGTATCTGTTCACAGAAACTGCTGTAAAATATCTAAATAGTCTTAGCGATGTACTGTGCAAAAATCCAGATATGTAGGTCAGAAGTACATACTGATGAGTGAAGTCACATACAGGGCTGTCGGCTGCATGCATCTGGGTAGATAAAGAAGGTTGCTTGGACAAAAGACTCTGGGCTGGGGGTTGTGCTGGCCGTTGCTTGAACGAACATCGTTGGAGTGAAAACATAAACAAACAACAACATATACATATTGAGCAACGACAAGGACTTATGGGCTATATACCTTCTCCATGCTAGAGGAAGAAAAGAGCATTAGCTATTTAAATCATTAGGGCTTAAGTTAGACATCACCCTTACAGGATCAATGGTGATGGTCAGCCAGAGTTTGATGCCTTCAACCTCTACCTCCAATCGTGCAAGATGGCCCTTTATGCAGTCTAAGGTGACTATGGTCAATGCACCACCATTCCACCACTTTCCAACATTCCATTGTTTAATATGAGCATCCTTTTCACTGTTAAATAAGTTTTGAGTGAGGGAAATGCAAACAAAATCCCAACATACAATCGCACCCAAACTGTTGGCTTCTGAGGCTGATATGGAACGAACCATTTGACATACCCAAAGGATACTCTTTTGCCACCAAGACCTAAACCCTCATCGAACAATAAAACTTGAGTGAGCTCCCCACAATAACGCTGGCCCGCAATTTCCACCTCAACCAATGAGCTCCGAGGGTTCTTTGCTGACTGTGACACAAGGCATCTTCTTGACCTGACGATGATTCCAACAATGAGTTGGCAGTGGGATGCTATTCGGATTGGGGTTCGGTGCAGTGTACTGATGCAGCTGCAGGGCGGAATTCTGATGTTTAAGATGGTGGATTATTGAGAGAGACTCAGAGATGGTTAGTTCGACCTTTCGCTTCAGAGCAGGGCCCAACATGACCATCTGGAGTGGTACTTCCTCTGACATCCAGAGGTGGTCAAACACAACAGGGATGGCGATCTGGCAAGCCTTACCATCTATCCTCTTATCTTCAAGCTCCCTTGCTAAAGCTTGCATGGTGCCACAATCATCGCAGCTCGCATTTATCAATAACATCGCAGCTGAACTCTCAATCACATTGGATGACCGGGATGCCTCATTGAGCTGAAGGAATTCTGTCAGCCTGACTGTGGCCCAGCAAGGATGTGTGTATATATCTAGACATACTATTTGTGACACCTGGTTTGCACAGTGAAACTCATGAAAGAAGGAGACCTCCAACTGTCCACATCCATGATTGGTAGACTTGTAACTTTTGAGGACTTTATTGAGATGCTCGAAAAGGAATGTCCAGAAGCTGTATACAGGACCAAAGTCATGAATGAACTTGGCTGTGTGAATGGCATAATGATGGTTGGGTCTAATCATATCAGGACCAAAAATCTATTGTATAAAGTGGGATCCGGTGTTCCAATTCCACAAGCGATTACTTACCTCTGGAACACCTTTGAGGTAACCCAGCATGTATTTTTCACCTTTGACGATTTGCACTTTGCGCCTCCATAATTCTATGAGACAACCAACACTTGAGAGCCATTGTGAGATTGAAAAAGTTCACTGGCTCATCAGGATGTAGATTTGAGGGCAAATCACCTGCAGCAGCAGCAGAAGATTTCTTATTTGCACATCCACACAATTTTCCTGACTTTGTGGAGGTTGCAGTTGTAAGCGAAATCAAGGCAACCTCGCATGATGAAAGCTCTCGGTGGGGTTGAGTAATGGTGGACTAACGTTGAGGTTTATACTCAATTCAAAAATTCAAGTTCATGACATACCATTGACTCTCATGCCATTTCCTTCAATAATTTGACTTGGCCACATCTCTCTTTGGCATCCTCCTTCTCCTTCGCCTTCTTGGTGAGACAATTATTAATGAAATGCACACAGGCTTCTCATGCACGATCTGCATCCTGTGATAGATATGTGTCCCATATCAAAGGGACCTAGCTGAAGGATTAGTGGGAAGAAACCACCAAGGGGCACACTACAAACGTACCGTAACTGGACCAAAAACTGTTACCATGAGCAACCACCGATCAGCTGTCAAGGAGCCTCCTGCTGGCTCACCAACAGCAGTTGGAAGTGTCGCCATGTGTCCTGGAACCGTGAACTAGGGCACATCAGTGCCTAACATGAATCTGTGAAGCATCAAAATGGACACATGCATACCTTTGAAAGCAGGGCATGAAGTTGGACAAGCTCATGTTTTGGCTGGATGTCAGGGATCAGCAATGACCCTGGACCCTATGCCGGCTGCGCATATGCATGTGGGAAGTATGCTGGCAATCCCCATCTACTCTGCTTACCTAAGCCCCAGTGGCCCGGATCATCTCTGGCATTGTTCTGGAACATTCTATGATCACATGATTCTATCAGCAATCTGTTTGGTTTCCTTATTGCTGGACTCTACATGTATATAGCTGACCCCAAGATGGGGACATCCCTTTCCCCCGGCTTTAATCACAACTAGGTTATCGGAGCAATTTGTGCAAGCACACGCATCCCCTGACACCAGATGATGATTTGAGGGACCCACATATGATAGAAATGGTTTTTACTGAGACCTAAATTATATATGGTCAGCATGAAGGTTGCACTAGTACTGTAGCTTCCTTGCATCGTACCAAGAATGAGGTTATGCATTGGATTGATTACTATCATCCAGCACAAGTCGAAATATGGGAGACATGACAACTCCGACCACTGGTTAGAATATTGTGTGGCATGTTTCTCCTTCAAAGTTCTTGTTGGGAGATCTTGGTATATCTCTCCCATCCTGCGATGCTCTTCATTAGAATGATGCCAGAAACCTAAGACAACATGATAGGATAGAGAGCTGGGACACATATGACATTGCATACCTCTGACAAGAACTCTAACTTGTTCTTTTGAGATAGCATCACCCAGCAGCGAGTGCAGAGCATGGTGTGGCTATGGGAGCCAAACCCTCTGAGCTTATGTGCTGCAGGCGCATCACAAACAATGCACAGTAACACAGCACAGACATGCCTGCCTTGAGGACACTTGCAGGTCTTGACCATTATCCCTTCCTTCCACAGGTGCAGAAGATCGTTGACCAATGGTCTCATGTACCATTGGACCTATCAGGGCTTGGCTCCTTGGGACCAGGAATGATACCTGCAAGAAAAAGATTGAACGCTTTATACCTGCTGGATCCTTAGAGATACATCGAGGTGATGGGAATTAATACTTACTTGACATGAGGAGGGAGATTTGCTACACATAGCGACATTGGCCCTGATGAATGTGATGCAGACTGCTGAGATTGACAATATGAAAACCTAAGGTACTCACTTTGGTTCAACTCAACCATGACAAAAGGGGAAAACTTGCCAATCAGTACCGAGTGTGAGACCAATACAAAGCTCTCCATTAGGACCCATCTCGTAATCTTCTGGTTCATTGTGAAAGAAAAGGGACCCATCATGGCCCAGAATCGAGTGGGCAACATGGCCATCAAAAATATCTTCCAGTTCCGGATGCCAGTCAGGTAATTTGTGCCACTGATCAAGGAGATCCTCCATCCCAGGTTCCCGCAATAGCTCATGAAGCTGCTCGCTGATGGATTTGAAAGCAAAGCACATCCTGGGCTTGTGTCCCTTTGTGCTCTTATCTGTTGTGTGTGTATTCCCATTGTTTTCAAACAGGGGAATGTTGTGTTCGCATTTGGTACAAAGTGCCGGTGTAGTGTTGAGCACAGGGTAGACTTCTTGGCATGCAGGACATATTGGGAGAACTTGAAAGGAAGGTTCAACAGACATGTGTGAATGGACGGTGGTTAACATCATGGCAGAGACAGTGGGAGGATCCAAATGAAAGTTTGCAGCACTAAGGATAAGTTGTACTACAGACAAAATGGCTCCTATAATTTGAAATGGGACATGGTGGTAGGCATGGAGCCAGATGGCCAAAAGGTAGAGAATCCGAATGGGCACTAAATAGTGAGTTTCAGAATAAGGTGTCCAGGGCTGTGTATCAGCATGAGACAAGAAAGGGTCTGGGGAATTCTCATCCACACCATCCGATCAAGGGGTAGAGTGGACCAAGGATATGGGAGAAGGGAGAGTAGATGAAGACCCAGCCTGAAGGGTGGTCTCATCCAGAGGTGAAGACCCAGAATCGATGGGAATACCAGTGGAATTAGACTCCTCATCGCTGGATGTTTGGGATCCATTATCGTCTTCAGTTGAGTCATCATTGCCAGGCTGTATGGCCTCGAATTCGAGAGATAAGTCATTGTTGCAGTCATTAATGAATCCAGGCAAAGGTGGTGCCAGAAATACATCTGGCTCTAGATTGTTGGAACCAAGTTGCCAGAGAAGTGGGCCACTTTCAGGCTCGTCGAACGTCAGTTTAGTATCAATATTTGAGCCAGATGCGGACGCTTTCAAGACATTCAAGGAGTAGTGCTGATGGCTAGCCCATCGCCTTTCAGCGTTCTGATGGTCATTCCATGTCTTGATGTGGAGCACCTTTCCCTCGGTCCCACATTTGCTACAGTGACACCGCTAGAGTTCTGAAACCTACAAGTATCAGATTAACTACTGAGTGGCAGACAGTTACCTTATTCCTTGTGCTCATGGGTTGCTGCGAGATTTGTTGACAATAAATCCAGACCAGTAGAATGTGGAAGCGCTGAGATAAAGGGTTCAGCAACATCCATCCAGAAAGGATAATATTTTTATTGGTGGAACCTTCAGTAGCTTTCATGGGCAGGTATGCCTGAAGGTTTGTGAGGAAGGCGAAACCTTCCAATGCTCAAGTATCGTGTGTCTATCATAAGGAGGGAGGGATAATCATTTTAAATTTGTGATATGTACATCCATAAATTCAACTTAAGGCGCTTGGGGGGACCAGTTAGTGATGCACAAGCTTTTGAAAACATCATTTCAAACTTTAAACTAAGGCTCTGTCATATCCATCCACAGCCATTGTCCTTCATTACCTCTGGCCCCTCCAGACTACCTCCACTCCTTCTTCACTAGCCTCAGAGCTCCTGTATTCTGCAATCACCTCCACCTCCCTTGATGGTCACCACCCCCTCTTTTTATATTACCTATGCCTCCATAAGTACAGAGCCCTGAAGGCTTCTGGACAGCTCCGACATCCACTAGCGCACTCCCACCTCCGCTGGGCAATTCACTTGCTTGCCCTGCAAGTCCACCTTTGGGCCTATCCCTCCTTTCCATTTCTGGGTTATCGCCTGCCATTCCGCTAACCCTGTAACCTGACTTGTCGGTAATATTCAATCGGCTAATGTTTAACTCCATTAGCTCCACTCTGCTTGGTCCTGCCATTCATGGGCCTGCCCTTGCTGTAACTATATATACTTAACTTGTACATAGGTTACACTTCAGTGATAAAATCGACTAGAGTTGATCCCCCTTTAGTTCTCGTTGCCAGTAAGTAAATTAGGGCATGGATGTGTAACTTGGCACAGCGCTCCTGGCTTGAGTCGCTGAGGCCAAAGCCCTCTGCCATGGAGACAATTCTTTCGTCTCAATCCAGTCTCTGACAGTATTTTATCACTCCCTGACTAGTACACATCTTGTATGGCACCCAAAGCCCCTTGCACTCGTTTGCAACTATGCACATTAGTTCCCAACTCTGCCTCACCGTCTCCCAAACCCTCGCAGCCTGGTCCTAGTTGTCTGGCGAGAAACCCAGTTGAGTTTCACAGCTTCTCTAATCTAGAAACCCCTCTCCCATCGACTCCGATCATGTGTCCCGTTAGAAATTGATCACCAGTTGCAGATTCCGACTTCAGAGACACCATGGAACAGCCCATAGATCGAGTTCACTTCTTTGGATTCAGTTCCAAGGTCCCCGATTTCGTCAATCCTCCTCCTGCTGATCCTCCCATCCCCAATGTGGCTATTACACAGCTAGCCCAAGCCATTGCCAGTTTGGCTTGTCACACCAGACATCCACCACCTCCACCATCCTCTGCTCTCCAGACCAAGGTCCATGAGCCCGAACAGTTCAACGGAAAAGATCCCCGAGAACTCCGAGTATTTCTGGTCCAATGCGAACTGAACTTTCAGGACTGCCCCCTCGCTTTTGCTAGCGACCACACCAAGGTCATCTTTGCACAGTCCTACCTCAAGGGGATGGCCCTTGATTGGTTCAAACCGGACCTGTTATTCAATCAAAATTCTTCACTTCATCCTCAATGGATGAATAACTACCAGGAGTTCGTCAATGAACTTCAAACCAACTTCAGCCCTCATGATCCTGTGGGCGATGCCAAAGTCCAACTAATGACCCTGGATATGAAGGACGGTGTAACGGGTCTACAGTGGGCAACAAAACTGTTCACATGTTTTGCTGTTTTGAAAAGACACACTCATACAGGCTGAGGAAAAATTCTGAAATTCCTGAGAAATTCATAGAAGATGCTCTGACATCACAAAATGTTGCTTCCATCAGCCCAAGGTCATATACCTATTTATGGCAATGCAATTGTCAGATGAAGTCACCCATTGCATGTGAACAGTTTTGTTGCAGGCAATAATTCTACTATATTAATACTTGGTATACCCCCCCTTTGCCTTAATTACAGCTTGTACTCTTCTAGGCATACTTTCTATCAAGTTCTGACACACCTCCTTTGGTATCTTCTCCCATTCCACCTGACAATGATCCCAGAGCTCCCCCACACCACTTGCAGGAGCTTCATAGTCAGCCAACCTCCTTTTCATATGCCACCAGAGATGCTCTATGGGGTTAAGGTCTGGGGACTGTGCTGGCCACTTCATAACAGTGTAGTTATGACCTTGGAACCACTTTTGAGCAAGTTTGCTGCAGTGCTTTGGGTAAACAAAGTCATGTGACCAGAGTCAAGTATAGCCCTGCTTCTGCATTAAGAAAGCCAAGGCAACAAAACTGTTCACATGCAATGGCTGACTTCATCTTACAATTACATTGCCATAAATGGGTGTATGACCCTGTGCTGATGGAAGCAACATTTTGAAATGTCAGAGAATCTTCTATGAATTTCTCAGGAATTTCAGAATTTTCCCAAGCCTGTATGAGTGTGTCTTTTCAAAACAGCAAAACATGTGAACAGTTTTGTTGCCCACTGTATCAATCTAGACTCACAACTCAGGTCTAGGGGGGGTAGGTCTCTCTCTCTCAGGCAGATGTGGGTCCTGCAAGTACAGTGCTGATACTCTGTGTAACCTCTAACTAACTGTCTGTACAGTTGTCATGGAAGAGTCCGATATAAAAGGAAAGTCACATGCATGAATGAATGAAAACAGTAAAGAGAATAAAGAACAAGTCATATCTCCTCAACCACTCCACCAGATCCGACGATCTTGGACTCGTCAGAACCACCTCCACAGTCTCTACAACTCCTACTATTACCACAACTCACCAATCCTAGTCCCTGATGCAGTAGGGGGTGAAATGTGTGATAAGGGTTGGTTTGACCTGCACAGACTTGTCCCCACAACAAAGGGCACCACATCAATAAGTATGTTGTTGAGTTCAATCGACACACCTCTCAACTTCATGGATATGGAGAAGCAGCGCTCTGTCGTTTTTTCTATAACAGATTTCCAGAACATATCAAGGATGACATCACCAGAGTAGGTAAACCTTCTACTCTTTCGGAACTTCGCACCTTGTCACAAACTTTCGATGTGCACTATTGGGAGCGTAAGTCCAAAGTGACACATCATGCGAAACCCTCCTCCTCCAACGTCTTCGACAAGTCCACTGCCGCTTCTCACTCTGACCCCGTTCCTTCCTCCTCCTCGTTCAACTCCGCTTCCGGTAGCAAGCCTCCGAAGGACAACAAAAAGTCCGAGGCCAGCTCCGCTAAGCTGGATCTTTCATCAAAACTCGGAGACAATGGCAAGCTCACACCACAAGAGCATAAGCATCATCTCAACGAGAAACTTTGCATGTTCTGTGGTCAGTCTGGCCACATGGTCAAGGACTGTCCCAAGTCTTCTTCTCACACATCTAAGGCCCGCATGGCCCAGACTGAGGAGCAAGGATCCACTTCTGCAGAGGCAAAAAATTAGTCTGCACCCCTGTGGACTCTGCATGGACTGGGGGTTGCGATTCTTCCCTCCGTGTGCTCAAAGAAGTATGCATAAATGCGTCTTCCATCTCCGACTTATCCTCCCTCCACATTCCTGTTTCTTTTTCTCTTTCTAATGGTCTATTCTCTCCTCTTAATGTTGACCCTTCAGTTGATGTTCTACCCGTTGTAGATAGTGTTGCTGATGTACCACTCTCTCCTCATCCTCTTCTGACAACTTCCATAGATCGTTCCACCTCTCTCCACTTCTCTTCTCTCTCTTCTCCTGTTTCTTCTTCTCTGTCCGATGCAAGGACAAAAAATACTAAACTCTTCTGCACCTATGAGAACGTTCCCGCACTCATAGACTCTGGTTCTTCAGACTGCTTCATCAACGACACATTTGTGAAGAAGTTGGCCCTGAAAACATACCAGATTAAACCTCTACAACTATGCCTTTTTGACAGTAGCACTAACTCAATCATAACCCATGCTGTTGATATTCCCCTCCACTTCGCTTCCAGAAACATCACCCCCACGACTTTCTTTGTCACATCGCTGGATGGATCTTGTTCTCTAGTCCTAGGACACAACTGGCTTACCTGCTACAATCCATTGATTGACTGGGTTTCAAGCAGTATTATCTTCCGAACTTCCAAACCTACCAAGACAGTTACTCCGAGCTCTCCCCCATCGTCTCCAGTACCACTGCCATCGTCCGACATCCAACCATCTGATGTTCCGCTAGCACCTTAGCCCCAGGCTCCCATTCCTCCATTACCATCTATCGAGTTTGTCAGCCATTCTGCATTCATGAAGGCTTGTCGACTTGAAGGATCGGTATCCTCAACCTAACCATCCCTTCCAAGGAAAGCTGCTTGAGGGCTGCCTCATCCCACACTGATTCTGTTGACCTTTCGGCCATTCCAAAGGAGTACCATGAGTTCGCAGATGTGTTCAGTAAGAGCAAAGCCTCAATGCTGGCACCGCACCGTGAGCATGACCTGAAGATCGACCTTGAGGAAGGCACTTCACCACCCTTGGGTACTATGTACTCCCTCTCTACTTCAGAACTCGAGGCCCTCTGGGTGTTCTTAGATGAACACCTAGCCTCCGGGTTCATTCATCCCACTACTTCCACTCACATGGCACTGGTCCCCTTTGTCTGCAAAAAGGATGGATCCCTCCACCTTTGCGTTGACTTCCAAGGGCTGAACAAGATGACCAAAAAAGATCGCTATCCACTTCCCCACATTTCTGACCTCCTTGGTGCACCTAGCCATGCCACTGTCTATACCTGACTCGACCTCCGGCATGCTTACCACCTGGTTCGCATTGCGGCAGGCAATGAGTGGAAGACTTCCTTCCGCACGTGCTATGGTTCCTATGAGTGGCTCGTCATGCCATTCGGTCTCATGAATGCACCTGCGGCCTTCCAGCGATTCGTCAACACAATCTTTGCCGACCTCTTGGACGTTTCTGTGGTAGTCTACCTAGACAGCATCCTTACCTACTTGGAAGACATGGCTTCACATCAGGAGCATGTCTG